AAAATTTAACACAACTGCTACAATTGGGAGGTGTGATGAGTAGAATAAAATGTAATTGGACGAGTTATCAAGTTTAATAATAAAAAGGGTTCATTTGGAATAAAAGAAAGATGTGTGGAATGACTAGAATAAGAAATGGGTATAAAGAGGTAATTTAGGGCTCGCGCCAATCACAGAAAAGAGTAGATATAAATTGAGATACGATATGGGAATGTGGAATAAGGAGACAGAAATGTAATTATTACATAACATGCAAGAGAGATTAAAGTAGAGCTTTAGAAAGCGGGCAAAAAGGTTGTTTAAGACAGAATGCCAGGAGTAGATAAATAGGACCCACCGCTAGACAATATTTCAATGTTTAATCTGTAAAAAAAAAAATGCAGCCTTTGTAAAACGCTGCCCTAGGTAGTACACCAATGCCTTGCACCGGCCTTGATAGGACCACCCGGCCGACCCCATTTGTAAAATATAAGGCGAAGAAGAAATTTGCTTGACTCCTATCATTAGTACAACTTTACATAGAAATTCATTACTGTAGATTGTGTCTATGTTTAAGATAGGTGAACGTCGCGTCGTCGAAAAAAATGACTGTACCTCGTGCAACTAGAGCATGGCCGTAGCTTTTCTGGATCGTGTACGCTGGTACACGGTTCGTGATTTCGACCGACTGTTCTATACATTTGTATTTAAACGTCAAACATCACGCTGCGGTATCTTGTATATTCTATAGGTATAGCCGTACCTATGTCCCGAGGAACGATCCGATTTGCAGAGGATCCCGCAGTGCTCGCACCATTATTCACGGTTCACTTTATCCGTTATCAATTAAATCGTAATAATTGGATTTGCTACCGTATCGTGTAAGAGTGTGTGTTATAAACAAGAAAATTATACATATATAGGTGTACACACACTACACAGTCAATTGTTTTTTTCCCTCAAACAGCTGTACACCTCTATAGATGATCTATAAATAATACCCACTTGTTAATCGAACGAATCCGACCGAGGTACCTTTCAAAAATGTTATAATAGCACACATACAAGTATATATATATATATAGTATACACCTCCGTTCTTGTATCAGTCATGAACGGGTTACAATAACATGTTGACAATGCGTTACGACAGATATAAGTTTTAGCCGACCGTGAAAATCTAAACACACATCGTTACGATGACTTTTGAAAATCGCCAACACACGAGCTTGAAGGCAAAATAATAATAGTAATAATAACGCCGTTGTGTACGATGATATTACATCTATTATGCATAGCTCTAAATCTAATCCTATTTTAATGTATACTATAACCGCTGGATTGACCGCGTGATTAGACTACATACAAAATATGCACAATAGACAGAGCAATTATTATTATTAAGCATTAATGAACAAGCCTGCGAACGTTGCCACGATTGATATAACTGTTCTGCGAGATATGATCGCCTAGCTGACAACCCGTCACGAAAAGTACATGTTGGTAACGTCTTTTTTACCTCACTATACATTGGCAACCCAATATTATAATATTATTGGTCATCAAACCGCCGTGTGCACGATTACCCAACGTCTAACGATACCTATCAAACAATAGTCGGATTGGCGGATGGAAGAGTATGAGTAAGTAAGTGGAGAATTGGAGAAACGTTCATTATATATTGTAATATATATATGTTGTATTGGTTCATATAGTTGAACCGGTAATAAAATGTAAGATTATGGTAACTTGTATGCTGTGTCTAATATTTTTGTGTTGCAACTAATATACATTTGGAAGGAGAACTAGTGGTATATTTTGTTAAATTTATTTTCCTCGGAAAACTCAGACCGCCTCTGTTAACTTATCATTTATCCGTGATATTCGTGTGAAATTGTAATAAAAAGTAAAAACTAATAACGTTTACCATTCGATAGTACACTATTGTATATATTCGGTCTTAAGAACAGACTATACAAGAACAATAATAATAATTTTAAAAACGTTTAAAATATGTGTTAATTGTGTTTCATTCATGCACTGCCATTAAAGTCTCCAGGAGATTCTGTTTACAAAAGCTATAATATATGCTTTCTACGAGTCATTATTGGTATATTCTCAGTGGACCTACCTATATACATACCTTACAACCATGAATAGGTGTCACAAAAAAAAAAATATATATATAAATGTACCTTTAATTGTTTTCTTGGCATTAATTTTCTCTTTAATAGATAATGGCATGTACAATAAATCATTTGCAGATATTGAGAACGGGTCAAGTTCATTCGATCATGCCATTATATTATATTACCACCCAGATAGTAATCGAGTCAATACAGAATGATATTTTTTTATAGTTGACTGTGTTGATTTTAGTCGACACTTGCAGTTATGACGTATTAATTAAAATACCGACTTGGCAAAAATAAGTTCGTTCAATGGCATACACGACCAGATAAATTAGCTGCATAATTTGTCCTCTTATAAAATCAAATCTAGGTCATATAATAAGCTACTCAACCTAACGGAAAAACCAAAATGTAACCCATTCGTTGAACATATTTTTTTAAATAATATAAATTATGTGATAACGTTAATAAATTGAAATACTTATATATTACAAATGTTGAGACCTCTATGTACACAATATATGGAACAAACATACCGACATTAAAATCTAGAAAACTCTAATGTAAGTAGGTAATGTAAACGCATAAACTGTTTATTATTTAATTGACTGTGTTAAATATTAAGTAGGTAAACAACAAGACGTGACTATATTTTGCTAAATCACAAAGACTTTAATGAGCGTTGGATAATTATGATTTATGAGCGCGAGAGCATTATTTAGTTATGAAAGTTGTATCTTTCCTTACTTACATGTGTTTTAATAGATAATTTTTTTTCACACTACTTATTATTTTTAACTCATTTATGACATTACAGCACACATAACCATCCAAACGTTTCCATTATGCAGCATATGCATTTTATCATGGTAACGTGGGCCTACAGCGTTTTATTTCGTTACTCATTGCACTCTCTAAAGTACCGTTGACGGGCACAATTCTGTTTTTAATTGCATATATAATAATATAAAAGTATTTTTTTTTTTTTGTAAGCACAGCAGTATGGCATACAAACGGTGACACGTCGACGGCCTAGTCAAATAGGTAATAAAAATGATTGTGTTTTAAAAACAACGTCGTTTTGACTTGTGAGTTGTGATGTCAAATGAGAGTATATCGCTAAAATTTCATTTGTCGCAGCAATGAGAGTGCATAAAAATAAATATACATATTTTCATAATGAATTATTATTTTCAAACGCATTTTTGCTTTCACAAATCACCTACCATAAAAGCTATTATATCACAAAACTCCAGAATAAAAATAATAATTGACAATTATATCATGTACAACAACAACAAAAATGTGAATCATTTACGATCAAAATGAAAGTGGCGTTCAGTTATCCGAAAGCCATTTTTTTTGGTATTTCCTTTTATTGTTATTATTTTTTATTATTATTTCCTAACGCATACACGGCTGAATGACTTCAAGAATGTGGATGAAAATGACGAGGACCAAGGTAGACGTTTGTCTGGGTCCCGAGGCGCAACAACGAACACACCCAGTCCGAGAGGGGTTGGGCGAAACCCGTCACAATAAGTATGAAACTCAACACAATAGTTTTTATTTTTCCCTCTAATACCCGCGTGGGAGGAATCATATATATTTCTATAGCTACCCAAATACAACTCATGAAATATTACCACCGAACCGTCCTACAGGTGTGTGCGACCGACGCGGCGTGCTATTCTTTTGGTAAACATAGTGTAGTCTGTAGTTCGCAGTCGTGTATGCGTGTACAATGGCCGCGTAAATGAATTATGAAATATACCAATTCTCAAAAGCATACAGTATAAAAATAGTCCATCACCGTTGTTCGTCTATAGAGGCGCACATGTATGCGGTGGATACGGAGTAAATGGCCCCGCTGCGATGGAAAACTCGAAGGTTCTACACAAAGATGGAACATTTTCCGAGGAAAATTATTTTACGATATGGACACAAACATATATCTGATAATGTACCGTGTAATTAGATACCATAACTTTGGTGCCGACGACCTACATTTAAGTACAAAAGGCTATTATCCACGGTCAGATTGACTTCAGATGCGCACAATAGAGTGTATTACACATCTAGGCGTTTATGCGCCTACCGAGATTAGTAATGACCGTAACATGGAATACGTATCCACCAGATACACGACACACATACAAGCTGAGATCGTTGAACATATTCACACATACATGTAGTGGACAAGTATTTGATAAGATATATTTTTAACAGTTTTAGATATTTTGTCGAGACTTTGGTAATAATATTCATTGATCACAGCTTAGAAGTAATTTCTGCCAACAAATTAGTGCAATCGCCAATCGGGACAGAGGTGCATTGCCTTTTTATGATAAATAAGAAAACAAACTGTTAGTTTACTATTGTTTATAGTGAAATTGTTTTTTTTATCGTTTAGTAAATCGTCCATCAAATATAAATATTGTAATGGAATTTGCTAAAAACATAGGGTTTTATTAATTTATATGAAATAATATTGTTATTGTATATAGGAAGTGTTAACAGCTATGACCACAGCACATTTGCATTATTTTATCGATCGAATAAGGAGTTTATAAATAGAAAAAAATCTCTTATATTCCATTTTGATATCTTTGTTAATGTGTGTTGGATCCGCATTGGATTATTAACCAGTAAATAACGTAAATAATAGCGTGTAAAAATTACATTGATACATTTTAGGCGATGTTGCGTTAGGATATTTTGTAACAAGGCTTTAGAGATGTTTAGTTCTACAACCACTTTAAATCTAAAAGTGACTACTGTTGCCACAACAATCTTCTAGTTGTTTTCATGGATTATACTTTGCTACTATCGAGAGATACGTATGACTAAAAACTAATCGAATATTTTATAATTGATAAATTTACTAACCTGTGGATTTTTGTTTAAAATTTTTGTTAATCCGTCAAATCACCATAGTCCTAAGGGAAATTTTTGGCACTTTCACTAGAACGGCCTTTCATGAATTTTACACAATGTAGTAAAGAAAATCACTAATATTTTTTTATTTAACAATACGATCACTTCAATACAACAAAAATAATAATCAAAGGTAAAAAATGCTGGCTAGGGTTAGTTTCTAAACGATACACCGGTATTGCGTTACGACACCTTTACTAGGAGCCGACCAGTCGACACGGGTTATTGTACTTAACTGCTTAGAAAGAAGAAACCTGTTGGCCAAGACGGACAGGTGCGCCCCTACCACAGCGCGCGCAGGTAAAACGGACAAATTGTAGTGGCGGCAACAGCGAGGCGCTATTTTAATAATATAGTGAAAAATCGAGATGATAATAATAATACACATCGTTAGCAGATATTAACATGATCCTTGTAATTGTTTTTTTTTCTGCAGTGTTCGTCCTATATAAGCACATTTGATGCAGTGACCACAAATGGACTAAGCTATAAAAATCCATTTCAAAATTCGAGCTGACCAATGTAATAACGGTACTGCCCTAAATTAAACTCTGTGCCTATTTTTATCCTCTATAAAAGTATAAAACTGATCATATCTTTCTCTTATTGCGGTAGGAATAAAATCACTATAATAAAATAATGATGTTGCGTCGTAAGCGATATACATTATTGTTAATGTAAATCTGGAATCAGCAGAAAACAGAAACCTACATAAGCTCAGTTTAACCTAACCTGACCTAACTCCCTTGTTTTTAACAAGGTAAAAATACTAACAGTTATAGTAATTATTCAAATAAAAAAAAGAATTCTAAGTACTTCTACGTATTCAAAAACATGGTTTGATTTTCAGCATTATCATTTCAATTACACTCATTTAACAGAAGAGTATACAAGTTATACCAGATACACAAGGAAAAAACACCCCCACGAGCTTTATCGAACAGAAAGGTGATTCTACTAAATAAAATAATATTTTATTTTGTCTTAAGTATCATTAAAGAGAATTGCTAAAAGTTTTTACTATGAATTTCATAGTACACTATTAATACATTCATTTTTAATATCGATACAAGTTTTTAAAAAAATCTAAATTTTCATGTTTAAAAAGTATAGTAATTGCTTATAAACATATATTTGATATTGGGATTATTAAATTGTTGTATCAACTTTGACTGATAAACTAGACACATGTGTTTTTTAAGTTAGGCACTTCCTTATAAGGAGCAGTCCTTATAAGATACGCGGTGTTCATTTTCGGAAAATCGCCTCAAGAATTAAAATTCCTTCACATCAGTCATCAACCTTTTATGCATAGCCATAAATAAATCCAGTATTGAACGTTCGTATTTAAAGCAATTTGCCGAGTATTATTTTAAACATAAGACTTTACGGACAAGTTGTACATTGAACTGTAATTGTACTTATCTGTATATTTTAATGTATATTGTTAATTGTTTACTAAAAGCTCAGGTATTCCATATCAACATCATTACAACAGTTTATTTACATAAGGATAAAAAATATCACACTAGTAGGTAGTAGATACCTAACACTTAAGCTCTTTTTTTTTTTACATATTAATAATTTGTTTTGTAAAAAATTTGTAAGTTTACAGAAATTATATATATTTTGTGGTGCGGTTTTTTTCGAAAGCTTCAAAACTCAACGGTTGTACGTGATAGTTGTTATAAATCCTTGGTGGTTACCTTGACTTTAGGTTTAAAAGTGCACTAAATTAATTGCTTATTATTTAGGTCATATACTATTTATTACTCAGTAATCTATGTATGCAGTAAAAAGTTAATTATTAATAAATTATTATTTTCATAACCTGCAAGAGTATTATAGGACGAAGAATTCTATTTGGTCTTACTACTACATGTATAGAATGTATAAAAAATGTAATTTAAAGAAAAAAAAAATTGTGCATTCCTGAAATTTAACCAGTAAATTAAAAAATAAAATGTTATAATAGGAACAACGTCCGCGTGATTTCTCGTGTTAAAAGCAATTATTTACTGCAGTCTGCAATCATCGTAAGTATTCGAATACATTTAACGACATTACTATTTGTTTACTCCCAAAAGGCCAATTGGTTATGGCTACCACAATAGATGCATCCTGTTCATGTGATAGGCGATAGCAAAATGTACCTTGGCGTAGTCGTTAAATAGAAATTGGTTTTCAATTAATCACACGTGTAATAGGGTTAAGTGTTAATTGTTTTTAAAACGGTAACAATATAATTCGGGAAAAGACAATAGGAACAATGAAACAAACCGCAAATTGAAATGAAAATTATTCTTCTTATCATCAATGATTATTGTATTGTGCCGAATTCTCACTGTTAAAGCAATTCTATATTATTGTTTTTTTTTTTACATTCATCGGTAATCGTTAAAATATTCTATTATCGTTTATGACCCGGAGTTTGCTTGGTTTTTGCGCTTAGGTGTAACTTGTTCATTAAGTTAACCATAGCTTTGAATTCGAGTAGCTAAAAATCAAAGGACCTAATATTTAACTCGAACATAAATGATAACTCATTCAATCTCATTTGACCCAATGAAGTAAATGCAAGCTAAGTATAAATCATTAACTTGCCCAACCTTGACCACAACACAAAGTGAACCATATAATATAAATTATAAGCAATGCGGTAAGAAAAATATTTGAATTTCTTTTTTTGTTTTTACTAAATAGAGTAAATAATTACCTGTATACACCGCTTATTATATTATGGTTGTTAATCATAATTATAAATAAAGGTAATATATATTTTGTTTTTATAACATAATATGGTAAACTCATAAAGGTACCAATTTCAGCATCTTAATATTTGTTTTTTGTAATTATTTTTTACCATTATTTATTTATTCCTATTCCGGATGTATTCCATAGTTCTGTTATTATTCCAGTGGACAATATATAATCTGTGTCCGTCAAGGACGTCACACAACTTTTGTCCGCACGTAAAACGTATAATATCAAGGAAAATACACTTTATTTGAAACTAAACCGTTTTAACGCATATTTATATACAAATAAAATTAACGGTAGAAAAAATTGTAGTACTTTAGATTTGATACAATTTATCCAGGCTCTGTTATAAAAGTTGAAATTAAATAATAAATATCAATATAGATGCCTCTTTGTCATGTTAATATAGACATTTTAGGCCGATGTCAAATTTTATCGAAAAATTGCCTATATTTTGCTGTTTCGTAATTATTTGATTTGACGCCCTTTAAAGGAGTTAGTCCTAGTAGTGCTATACCCACACAGAAAAAATATATTTTCACTGAGTGGGTAACGGCTTCATTATATTAAAATACTTTTTCCGTCGGCGAAAAATATATTATTATTATGAAGTATAAAAACTGTTGTAGCTATATAATATTATGTAGGTACAAATCAGCGGTCAGTGTGGTTACCCGGTCACGGTGTTGTGACGACGTTAAAAAACGAGGGGCGATCTCCTCGCGTGTGATTTTTGTGTCTTGACCGTAGTACTTAAAAAATATAATGAAACGTGGAAAATGGGATATTATACAGGCGACCAACCGAAGGAATAAAAAAGGGCGGCGGCGGCGCATGACGTTGATCTGCAAAAATTGCGGCGGCGTCGTCGTCGCACACGCTTTGACTTTCACCAGCGGAGGGAAAAAAATGCATCTATGACAAAGAGGCTAGGACACATTTTTTTATCCGTCCCGTATGTGTAATCCGGTATTGGTTTTCACTTCCTATTATAAACTTGACCGCGGTCGTCGGCCCGCTGACGGCTTTTTGATTTGAGCGCAAATACAAATCTCGAACGCGGTTTCGATTCCGAGCCGCCGCCTCGTGTGTTTCATGAAAATATATTTTTCAGAAAGATGACACCGCCTTTTAACGACCGGTTGTCGTCGCCGTATTCGTCCTAATCATATACCGACGCAACGTGTACGTATATTATAGGGTGGCTTTTTTTTCTTTTCGTTTTATTGTTGATTACCACCCTTAATGCAACAGGGTGCGGTCCGGTGAGATCATCACAGACGCTCACTGTAATTGTTATTTTTTTTTTCCCTCGTTATAATGGATTTATCTCGAAAATGCGACGGCGGCGAACCCCGTAAGACCCGCGTGCACCGCACTGTATAATATGTTGCACACACATAATATGATTATATTTCTGTATACATATAATTTGTTGGAATGCGGTGTGGGCTCCAAGGTCGACTACAAACCTTTCGGTCCCGTACACGCACAGACGCCAAGACCTCGTTTCGTACGAGTAGACTTCATGATGTGGCTTCGTTTGTGTGTTTACAAAAAAATATACACAGTGTCCCGCCACCGGTAGAAGCGATATTTCCAGGCATCGATTCTGACCAGGGCCGGTCTGGACCACTGTGCCATTGTGCTACAGCACAACCGACCCTACCAAATTCGCCAATGGTAAATAGACATACAACTCAATAGAGTTGGCCAAAATCCGGATTTTCGGATATATAGGTCGAGTCGGGTTTTAGAATTGCAACCTTCTGTTGTAATTGAAATATGTAATAACACACTGCATAAATTAGCCTAAAAATAACAAATAAAATAATTCGTCAATACTAAATACCCTAAAATTTGGAAAAAATAGAAGTATCGATTTTACGTTGCGGGACACTCTGTATACAACATGAAATATTAACACATAAAATATGTATGCCAACATACTCACGCGAGCGGTATTTTTGTATTTATACATTATGTATGTAGTACAATAATAATTATACAGTATACCAGTAAAGAATTTATAGAAGTTTTTTATTTTTTCTCTCCAACAAGAAAAAAATCTACTACTACAAAAAAATAAAGAGATCGTTAAGTATAAACGATAGGACATAACTATTAACTTACTATAACAACGCTTACGACTTATCTGTACTCAAATTAGGTTTTATTTCATAGTTTTAACTGCTTACATAGCACTTATAAACTCGGCCTAAAATTGCAATGATTACCATATAGCTAATTTCTTGTCTCTTTTGTTTCCGGTTGGCCTAACATTTTCGTTGTATTTCCGATACTATAGATTTTACATAGAAAGCGTTATTTTTGAACGTTCGACCAACCTGTATTAAAAAAAATCGTATATTCTATCACCTTTAGAGTACCCCTACGTATAGCTAAGGTCCATACTTTGTATACCAGTACAAACACACTGGACCGCCTGAGTCATACGCATA